AGGGATACAAGGTAGATAAGGAGCGACTAGAAGTGGTGTCATTTGTAACATAACAGCAGCAGTAAGGATTGAAATGTGTTTATTGTAGGTTTTTGACGAGCTTCAGTTGGATGCAGAGTGGAGTCTGAATGTAGGCAACTGGCTGTGGCTGTCGGGAAGCACTTTTGTGAAAGAGCATGTACCTTGGTTCTGTCCAGTGGAGGTTGGAAGAAAGGTTGATCCCACTGGTGAATATGTGAGGTATTTTTTATAAGAAGGCCTAAGATTAATTTTGTGAATACTGTTTTATGGGATTGCTACCTTTGGTTTGTTATGGAAGGCGTTAGCCGTTTGAAATTATTGACTTTTCTTCTGTATTCAGCTTACAACATGAATGTAAACTGGAGAAGACACAAAAATAATGAATGTCTGAACTAGATTGTGATGATAGTGTTAGGTTATTATTAAATGTGGTTAACTTTTTCTTGTTGAGAGTCACAGGGTGGTCCTTGTTGGAGGGATATAATTTTCTAAACGAGGTTTCTGGAGGAGTAGAATTCTTTTTTGCACTGTAATTGTAGTTCTTTCCATTCATATTTTAATCTACTCTTAAGATATCTTTTTCTGAATTTTTTTTTTCGCCCAGGGCACCCATCGGGTTTCGTCCACATCGTAGTAAATATCTAGAGGTGGCAAGTTGTAATGTACTGATTTTGAAACGTGGTGGAATGGATATTATCCATAAACATTGTATGGTTTACTGTTTTTTTTGATCGCGGATTTTCTAAGGTTTCCTTTCTCTGAATTGTGTAGGTTTTTGTTTATTGTTCTTAGTACCCTGATATTCTGTCTCTAAACTTTGCTTGCAGGAAATATGTTCCTGAACTGAAGAGATTACCTCTAAAGTATTTGTTTGAACCATGGAGAGCACCTTTGAAAGTGCAAAAAGCTGCACGGTGCATTGTGGGTGACGATTATCCTGAACCTGTGGCTAATCACACTGAACAGCGGGAAATCTGTGTTCGGCGCTTGAAAGATCTCTGCATCTCTTTGGATATTTTTGGTACTTATTCGAGTATTGTTTAGAACTATTCACGATGCATACAGATTTTTGTATTCACAGTAACACTTGTACAGGTTTCTTTCCCTCT